CTTTGAGCTTTTTTGAGCTTTTTGAGCTTTTTGAGCTTTTTGAGCTTTCGGAGCTTTCGGAGCTTTCGGAGCTTTTTGAGCTTTTTGAGCTTTCGGAGCTTTCGGAGCTTTCGGAGCTTTCGGAGCTTTCGGAGCTTTCAGAGCTTTCAGAGCTTTCAGAGCTTTCAGAGCTTTTTGAGCTTTTTGAGCTTTCAGAGCTTTCAGAGCTTTCAGAGCTTTCAGAGCTTTCAGAGCTTTCAGAGCTTTCAGAGCTTTCAGAGCTTTCGGAGCTTTTTGAGCTTTCGGAGCTTTTTGAGCTTTCGGAGCTTTCGGAGCTTTTTGAGCTTTCGAAACTTTTTGAGCTTTTTGAGCTTTCGGAGCTTTTTGAGCTTTTTGAGCTTTTTGAGCTTTTTGAGCTTTTTGAGCTTTTTGAGCTTTTTGAGCTTTTTGAGCTTTATGAAGCTTTTTGAGCTTTGAGCTTTTTTGAGCTTTTTGAGCTTTTTGAGCTTTTTGAGCTTTCGGAGCTTTCGGAGCTTTCGGAGCTTTTTGAGCTTTTTGAGCTTTCGGAGCTTTCGGAGCTTTCGGAGCTTTCGGAGCTTTCGGAGCTTTCAGAGCTTTCAGAGCTTTCAGAGCTTTCAGAGCTTTTTGAGCTTTTTGAGCTTTCAGAGCTTTTTGAGCTTTTTGAGCTTTCAGAGCTTTCAGAGCTTTCAGAGCTTTCAGAGCTTTCAGAGCTTTCGGAGCTTTTTGAGCTTTCGGAGCTTTTTGAGCTTTCGGAGCTTTCGGAGCTTTTTGAGCTTTCGAAACTTTTTGAGCTTTTTGAGCTTTCGGAGCTTTTTGAGCTTTTTGAGCTTTTTGAGCTTTTTGAGCTTTTTGAGCTTTTTGAGCTTTATGAGCTTTCGGAGCTTTCGGAGCTTTTTGAGCTTTCGGAGCTTTCGGAGCTTTTTGAGCTTTTTGAGCTTTTTGAGCTTTTTGAGCTTTTTGAGCTTTCGGAGCTTTTTGAGCTTTCGGAGCTTTTTGAGCTTTCGGAGCTTTTTGAGCTTTTTGAGCTTTTTGATCTGATATATTTATTTGATACAACAAACCAGTTTGTTTCTGTTATCTTCTAACTGAATATACCTATATTAGTTGTTATCTATTCAGCATATGATGTCATATTTAGCAAAATTCTTATATTTCAGACACTCCTACATTCATCTGCCGATCATATTCAACATGAACGTTTGCACAGTTGCATCGAAGACGAATCACGAAACTAATGCCCAGAATTAAAATATCATGTAATTTGTACCCCGAAATTTACACTACGCTACTCAAATAGTTCTTTTTAAGCGTTTTAAGCTTTTATAGCACACGTAAACTTCGGAAATTAGAATGGAAGAATTTGAATCCAGTATCAGTTTGTTTTCAACTAACAGGATTATTGACAACAAATAATAAAATGTGATTCATCAGTTCTTTTAAACATTGTTATTATCAATTTTCGTTATACTGAATGTACTATAAATATTGAAATATTTCTCATTATAATATTGAAACAATTAGTTTCACTAAAGATAACAAATTCTAGGAGATAACTCTCGTGTATAATCCTGCCCTAATCCTAAAACTAAACTAAACAAACATTTTTTGTTTTCGAACTCATCACTGTTACATAAATTGTACTTAAATCTAATCATAGATAGTATTTTAAGCTTCAATATACACGGTTTTGTGAAGTTTATTCTTTTATCTGACACGTTACGCACATTTTGCAACGAAATTTTTTCAATGATATTAATTTCCTACGAAGTTCTAATGGCTGCTGTCCCTCACATTTGCAAGCGAAAACCAGTGAGGAGGTGGCAGCTCTGGTGCCGCAGGTGCTTACAGTCGAATATAATATCGTATTTGTTAATATATATGCTTCTATTTATGAGTGCCTGACTCTGTGTGTGTGCAGACATGTAGATGTGTGCGATTGTAGTAGTTCACCTTTACATTTATGCGTGTTGTAAACAGGAAATTTATATGACAGCAAACATTTTATTTGCTGCAAGCCTCCGATGCAATTGCGATTCGATTGGGTTTGCATTGAATATTTGCGAGGAGAATTTTTATCGAAAGCCATTAAAATGTTTAATAATTTTCAAATTTTGGAATTAAGCAATGGATGACATATTTAGCACGTAGTTTTGTACTAAACATGTCATGCATATATCACTTGAGGAGATGCCCCACAGTTCAAACCAAAATATTGCAAGAAAAGTCGGATGAGATATGTAGAATGGTAAAGAACATTTGTTAAATGATTTCTTGATTATATACTTTTATATTTTATATCTATAATGCAGAGAAATGTTCATTTGAGTAAAAAACTTATAATAGATAGTGCTCTGATTCTTCCCTTGTGGGATTATATCGCTTAAATATGCTTTCAAACTTACAGATCTTTTAATCCACAAAATAAAAATTTTTGAAAATTATTTTAAATTCATCTGTTTATCTGTAAAAGATCTTACAAGCGTCTTTTAACTGATGTAATATTTTATAAATTCAGGATGCGACAGAATCTTTCTCTATCATATAGACATCAATATTTTCTCTTTACATCGATATATATGTTGATGATACTTAACTACCTAGTGAGACCGAAAAGTTTTTAATATTTTAGTCTGCGGCCTGAATCAGCTCTGATGATGAGTTACAAAACTTCTTAATTTTATTTTGATTTAGTTCAGTTTCAGAAGCTTCAGCTAATGTTTGTCCAATGTGCATCTATGATGACTTTATACCTTAACACTTTGATTTGTATGACGACACAGGTTTCGTAATTTAATTATAAGTGAAAAGTTTATGTAGTTATGATAACATGGAATACCTGATAACTAACCATTGTATGTTATTATAATTTTAGTTAGACTTCTTGTTGGTTCGTTTTGACATGTTCTTCCAAGGTTAATTTGACGTCCAGAGTCATATTTAACACATATAGGGCAGGGTATTTCAACTCCATTAATACACAGCGGTAGACATGTCTATTTGTCTTTCGTGCACATATACTGATTGCACTATCGGCACAGGGATCAAAATGAATTTAAATTGATCTTTCTTATTCGGGTGTTGCTGTACTATCAGGGAATGCTGCATTTTTAAAATCAACCATTATTGGAAAGTATTTCATATACAGAAAATCAGACTGTACACTAGAAAGTTTCTCTGTCGAACGCAAACTTTATTCTGTAAGATTAGAATCTTTCTGCTCAGTTTTCATTAAAGTATTTTTGTGCATATCTGTCGTAGGCCTCTAAAATATTTGAGAAAATATTTCTCTTCTCTTCAAGCTATTTTCAATTATTTCGGTAATTAACTAAAAAAATTTTTAAGTGTTAAGCAAACAGCTCTTAATTTTTTTTTGAGACCTTTAAAAACATTTGTAGTTATATATAGGTCTGTATCTTTATATAGAGATTTAGTAAGTTTAGCAATCGGTATTAGTTCTCCTACTATGATTCGGAATACAACTTTCAACACTACTAAAAAAAATTTGAGCAATTTGATAAAGTAAATACTATTAAAAAGATTTTTTTAATTAATTTCAGTAAAAAGTTTTAAAAAATATGTTATATAAAATTTAAGATTTCCGATGTGGTTATTACAATATTTAGATAATATAAAATTAAAAAGCATTGTAAACATTATCTTTAATATATTCTTTTATTTTATAATCGTCACAATGATGACTTAATGGATAAAAATTTAAAAAAAAGGAAATCGGTGAAACAAACTTAAAACTTCAACTAATAAAGAATAATGAGTGATTCTCAAGCAGTACTCAATCTGGTTCACTAATCCTTAATACTTGTTGAAGATCAAGCTGCTAATTAAATATTTGCATTAAAAACAGATTTTGCAGTCCCGAGAAAATCACGAACACGAAGAAAACTACACTGAAGTGGTAATTTAAGACGTACACCACTCGATGGTGCACAAAAAATTTGAGTACACTTTTCATTCAACATAGTCGCGAAGAAGATGTAATTTCAAGGATGAAAGCCTCCAAAGAAATGAGCAAATAATGAACTCAGCACGCGAATCAACAAAAATTATAAGGATAAGTTCAGTTGCATAAGTAATAAAAAAATACAAACACTTAAAAGGCGAAAACGAGCAGAAACTTGTCGGCGACAGGAGAGCGGTGTGGAAGAGATTCAACCAAAAATATGATTAATGCAAAAATAAGCTTAAATTGTGCAAACATATACCCACTGGTATTCGGATGCGAGCACAGCAGATACAGTGAATACGGCAAATACGCCCACAGAACAAGTTAAAAAAAGCAGTTCAAGTTTTTTTCGGCGCATACCTTTAGTCTTCGTTCTTCGCACACTGAAGAGTTGAAGCCCTGGCCAGCACGCAGCGCATCTTTGTCGCCTGTTACGAGTTTCTGTGCGCCTAACCATTTTGCTGAAAGGAAACTTTGGATGTGTGTAGCAGGCAGGAGCTAAAGAATAATTGTCGCGAGGCTTTCATACCGTTTTGTTGCCACCACAAGGCTCTGTCTCCAGCAATCAGAATAAGTGGTGTCTTCGCAGCTTCGCAACATTCGTCAACGGAAAGACGCCGCCGTTGAGCAACGCACCTCATACGTATATTTACTTTGTAAAGACTGACCTGCCCTAATCGAAAGCGAAGTGAAGCTGCATTTATTCGGGTTTCTATTCGGGAAGCCCGCATAACAATATTGCATAGCTGAGCGCAGAAGAGTGGAAGCTCCCGATTTATTCGTTGACTCACACCAGTTCCAGTTGTAAATGTGGTTGCCTACTCGTTTACAATATACATTTTCTCCTTTCAGGTGTACGTTTTCTCTTTAGTGTACTCTTTTTTTACTCTGTAAAATATGAGTCATTTTGTTAACTGCACTCCTCTTGTTCTGTGGTTAAGATACTTTTGT